CGTGTTGCTGCTGTGATTGCCGTTTCCATCATCTCTCCGGGTGCAGGCGCGTCGAAATTCACCTGATCTGTGAGTAGCACGTTCACCATTTCAAAGTGGCCACGCTCCGCTGCTGCCTGCAATGCTCTTCCTCTGTCGTATCCGGACGCAGGCACCGCGACTTCTGCCCGGGCTGCGAGGAGCCTCTCCCCAATTTCCCAGTAGCCACCTATGACTGCTAATTGGAAAGCTCTTGCCCCCCAGACTTCCCAGGACACACTTCTCTCAACATTTGCCCGAGCTTCGAGTAGTCGTTCCACTATTTCCAAGTGACCACCCTCCACTGCTACCTCAAGAGCCGAGGACATTGTTTCTTGATATCCAAAATCCGCCCCAGCTGCGAGTAGTTTCTTTACTGTTTCCAAGTGACCGTGTGCCGCTGCTCCTTGGAGTGCTGTTTCTCCGATCATCCTATGTGCAGGAATATGATGAACAGCCTGGGCTGCTAACAGTCGCTCTACTATTTTCAAATGGCCTCTCTTTGCAGCGGCTAGAAGTGCTATGCCTCCCTTGTCATGAGTCCCAAACGAGTTGATTTCCTCGGCCGCCATAAGCAACCGCTCGACGATCTCCAGATGGCCACCAGCTGCTGCTAAATGTAGACATGTTTTGCCGCGTGAAGAAATCGGTCTAGCAAAATCGGCTTTCTCGCTCAGTAATCGCTCCACAATTTTGAGATGGCCGCCACCTGCTGCAGCTTCTAGCACCGAACAGTCGTCAAGAATAGTATTCACGTCGGCTCCAGCTCGAATTGAAAGATTCAATGAAAAGATGCAACCTGATTGAGCAGCAAAAAACACCGCATATTTCAAGACCTCAAGGGAACTTCCTCTTACAACGATCAAGTGCGTAAAGCGAAAGCGATATTTCATAGGGGAGCCCTTTAAGATTTCACACATTGCTTCCTCTGTGAGACTGTGAGGTTGACGTTGCATAATGTAGACCAGCAGCGTAAGATGCCCGGAACTAATCATTGCCTGAACTGAGGTTGAATTGTGGCTTTGTTCTTTTTGGTCCCGCTGCATGGGCTCCCATGGTTTTTGTGCCGATATATCATCGTCTTCCATGCACCGGCAGAAGAGCTTCCATATCTTCTGGTGCACTACAGGATTTATGAGCGTTGTGTGGTAGATCCAATTTGTCTCGGCATATTCATGGAAATGGAATTCATTGTGTTGTACAGGGATTTGGCCCGGGGATTTGAACTCATTGCGAAGCGCTTCAATTTTGTTTTCAAGTTCTCGAGCACCAATGCCTTGCAGCTGATGACGACGAGACAGCAGTTTCAGTGCTATTTTGTTGGTCGCACCATTATGACTATGTATGCGCGAGAGGCCAAGCTGAATCGGGTTTAGTCGAGTATTGGAGCTTTTGTCGGCTCTCGTCAACTGACGCTTGAAGTCGGAAAAATCGAGGTAGGTCATGCAGAGAAACCCGAGATGTCGATCGAGTTTTTCTACGTCGAATTCTCTTAAGTGTGCGCTGTTGGCGGTAAACAGATATTGCTTGACACTTTGGTGAACGTAATGGACAGTGTCTTCTTCTTCGTCAATATACACCAAGCCGCAACAGTCGCTGAAAACTTGATTCATATCGCTGGGGAATTTCCCATGTTCGATGGACTCTTGTCCGGGAGAAAGACTCAGCGCTTCTCGATACTCCATGACAGTCAAAGGTTTTTTGAAGACACCGCAGTATTGCAACACCTTGATCGCGTTGTTATTGGTCTGTAGATCGTGAATCCGAGATATCCTGCGATCAAATATTTCCAACAAGCCACGTGGAAGATTGTTGAGGGCATTTATGATGTCGTTGTCGCAACTTTGGGCGCAGAGGTCTTCGATGAACAAACGAGTCCAGAGAAACCTGTTTAATTTTCCTGTGAGCGATGGCATATGTATTCATTTGTGGAGGGCAGCGAAAAAAATATAAAAAAAAAAACTGTTTGTGGCCGTGATCTATGGAAAATTTCAAGGGGAATTAAAGAAGTTGGAAATTGGAATTGAATGCTTCATCACTTACATGCCATTGGATCCCTCCCGTAATGCCGTGGAGATCCTGATTATTAGACCAGGATCCCCTAATTTCAGATCTTCTTCCTCGAGACAGCGACCGAGGGTAGTCGAAATATAGTGATCTATGTCCAGCTCGACGTTTACACCTGTGATTGGGATAGTGAAGTCAGGTCTGAAAACCCCGAAAAGTTTCTCTTCAAGCTCGTACCGACCGGCGCAGATCAGCTTGAACCTTTTCTCACGGCTTTTACATAACCGAGCTAGTTCTGATGACACTTTTTTGATCTCGGCGCTATCAAATTCATCCAACCCGTCGAGAATCAAAAAATACTGCTTCTTACCCTCAAGGTATGAAAGAAGCAAGTCGATAACGTCTTCTGTGTCCAGACAGCCGCTGGTATTCTCGAGCTCTCGGAGCTTGGCATTGTCTTCAAGATCAATTTGCGAATCTAGCAATTGACGGGCGATTGTTCCAAACAGGCTTCTGGCCGATAGGGATGCCGTTTCCTCGGCACAGCAGATGTTGTATGAGATAACATCATTGGGCTCCCGTGATCTGTATAGATATGCCACTATATTGGACATAAGTGTCGTCTTTCCCACGCCCATTTTACCTGGACACCAGAGAACGGCACCATCTTGAGAATCCGTCCACCGAAAGAAGGTGGTTTCCTGTTGAAGCCACTCTGCCGTAGAAGAAACGCGCTGCCTTAAAGCCTGCTTCCATGGCTTCACAAAATTGATGGTTGAGAGATTATCTTTAATGGTGGATCTCAATTTCGAGTTTTCTCTTTTCAACTTGTTGAGGCGCCATCCGTTGGCTTGTGTGTACTCCTTTTGACTTTGCTCATGGAAGTTCAATGCGCGCCGGCGGAAGTACCTGTTCCTTTGGGTTTCATAATGCAGAAGGTTCCTCATTTCCTCGATCGCCTGGTTCGCGGCTAATGTAATCTCTAGACGCACATGTTTTGCGGCTTGCTCGAGCTGAATTAGGAGTGGTTGGAACTCGAATTCGAAAGGATTGAAAATAGACGAGAAGATCTGGGAAACTGGAGCCCGCCGCGATATCTCCATTGTTCTAATGCAAATTCGAACAATGATAGCATAATAATTGCACAACTCGCGCTGGAGACCGGTGCATCCCGGGTAGAGCTGACCAAATTCCTGGTATTTTGGGCAAGACTTGCCAATTGCCATGATCATGCTTGTAAGCTTGTCAAAATAGGACGAGATATTGCTTGCTGACAGGATAGCCACTTTTAAACCCCCCCAAATCAGACCGGCGATTTGAGGATTAGAGCTGACAAATGTATCCACGATGGAAGTGAACTTCTGCGTCGATTCGAGAAAATTATACAGCTTTACTGCAACGCTTCTCTTTGTCTTAGTACTGTTATTGGCATCAATCTCCGCCACGAATGTAACAACACTAGAAATGTCTGGGCTTTGGTTGCTCATATGAAACTCTTGCTTTTGCTCCTTCGTGAGGACACTCTCAAATGCCTCCAACGCTTGTGTAAGAGCTGCCGTGGGATCTTGTGTTCCGGGATGGCGGGAGAGAGGCACAAGTTCAGCCATGTAGGACAAGGAGCCTTATTTGGGCTATCTCAAACGTTCAAATACTTGATCGCTTGGAGATACGCAGTATATCCTCGTATGGTATGGGCAGACGTGATAGAGATTAAAAGAATCAAGGAGTTGGGAGTTATTCAGCGGCCTAGCATTCGGCAGGTGGAAGCGATAGATTCGATTTGGCAACCTGCGAATATAAGGTAGGTCAAAAAGTCAGGGGTGGCTAATGTCGTCGGTATCGGTGAGAGGCAGCAGGCAGAAGGACACCTGATTGGCGCCTGCAGATGCAACACAATTCACAGCCTCAAAGCTGGCTCCAATTTTCAACCAATCATCTCGTTGAGACTTGCCATTGACGTGGCAGTGCACAAGAGTAAGCAGTTTGAATATTCGGTCGATGAGCTAGCTCTCCATACCATTAATAGATGCTGTCAACAAAAGAGAGTCACCATTTAGTAGTGCGCCCGAGGAATATTCAGCACCATTATCTGCCTAATGATCGATCGTAAGGCTCTCAACTATCTTACTTAGCTTAACCCCTATTTATTCTGCGCGTTCTATAGTACCATGGGGGTCACTAAGGAATACCCGGCCTGTAAAAATAATTGACGAGAAGGTGTGAAACAACATTTTTGAAGACGGCGTCTTCGGCGCCGGGCCTTCGCTATTCGCTGTAGTCGGGGATGCCGTGAAGCCGTCCGTGAGACCGGCCGGTAGCTTGCCTATAAGGCGGACGAAGCCCTTGACTACCTTCTTCGGCTGACGCTTCGTCTCAAGGGCCCGTTTAGAGAATCAAGAAGTCCCGTGTTTGATGCCCTTGGTAGGCGTGGTTCGTGGTATCGGCTTGTGAAGAACCGAATGCGTGCCAGAAGCAATGGTTCGGAGATTTCTTGATGCGGATTGGAATAATTATATCTGTGGTGTAGCTGGTACGCAGTTCGAATGAGCTGTCGAGTCTTGTTGGTCGGCTCTAACAGATAGTTTTCTTTCCTTTCCTATACTTAGTATCTTGGTAGAAATGCACGCGTTCTCCTGAACTGAATTAATGGTATATCACTTCCTCTCAGACTCACTTTCAACTCACTTTTAACTCACTTTCAACTCACCTAAATATATGTTCAATCTAGGTAGAAATTAGGTAAACAAACATGGATGTTAAAGTCATTAGTCAACGCGCGATCAATGCGTGATCAACGCGCGAGCCTGGCTGATTCCAGTGGTATAAATACCCCTCCATCCCTAGGCTTGATCCTTCTTCCTCTTCTCATTCACATCTCAGGATCAAGCCTCCTGGGGCTTACTACAAGAAGTATGTTGTCTATAGGCTTCCTAGCCAGACCATCTCAATCTTCTTTATATTTATATCCCCAAGAGATGGGGGACCTAAGCAAGCCCAATACCAGGATAAAGGACGTTCATGATCTGCCAAACACCGTTAGTCTTGCCGGGATCGTTTACATCCTATACCTCGTCGGGCAGGTTGTGGTTAATTCTATGACTCACTTCCACAAGCTGAAAGATACTCGCAGAGTAAGTTTAATTGATATCCCTCCCCTATATTGAGAGCAGTTAGAAGGATATCACTCAGACCTGAATACTAATAGTCACTATAGGAAGACGGCGAAATGTACCATGGATCCCGAGAGCATATGCTACGGTCTGACATAGCTGAAGTCGCCGATATGCGGTCATTGAAGAACACGAGAGCGAAATGGCTGGATGCGAGCAAGGTAATTACTTTGCACTCGACATCAAGGTCACGCCAATTTATGAGAATGAAAAGAATATTCTCATGGCTTTCCTATATCAACCCAGTCACATAGGGTTCTTTGCTACCGCTGGTGATTCGTCGTCGTCTGCACCGAGGTTGTCAAGTCCCACTTCCGATGGAGCTTCGCTCCGCGAGTTGACGGACTTACCCAGGTCATTACGGCTATCGGTCGAACCTTTGGACGTGAATCGGGGTCACCCGATGAGCTATCCTTTGGAGATGATGGCGGGCCGGATCGAAGGGTGGAAGTGAGTGATGCAGCAGAGACGGTCAGGCAAGTCCAATTCCTTCTGCGGTATGGTGATTATGCTGGCATGGTGTGGAATGTTCTACGTCGGATCTCGCTACGACACGCGTCTGCCAGACTCTGTCGTCTCATTCGATGCCGACCTTGACGTTGGTGGAGAAGACCAGGATGATGGAGCATTGCCAGGCGGGACCCCCGCAAACTCTGATGCGACTGATCAATCGCGATTGTACCTATGCCTGGCCCAATGAAAAGTCCAACTCAATGGAGGTGTGTTATCTTGGATGAATCAAAGAAAGAGAATACTATCGGTACCTTGGGTGGATCTTACATGAAACTAAAGGTCAGTATTGCAAAAGCTAGAGTTGAGTATTATATTAATGATATAATAGAACATTGACAACAAACCATTGACGTTCGTTTCTGACAACCGTCCTCGCCGACGGTATTTGTACTTCTGTTTCTTACCTGAATGCAAAGAGCCGAGGAATCAGTGGCGAAAAAGGTTAAAGCCACGCGTTATCGGCCCTCCGCCGGCGGGTACCTTAATCGGTCAATACTGGTTACATTAGCCCGTTGTGTTTTAGGATCGGAACTCTGATATGTACGACACTCTAAGAACTGGGTGTGGAATCGACGGCGATCAATCTACCCAACAACAGGGAGGAGATTCGAATCGACGAGCCTATGGCAAGGTCGGCAATCAAGGTGTACGCGTTGCGGAATAAGCTCTGCCACAGCAGCAATCTTCGAGGTACCCGCCCCGGAGACATCACAGTGCAGTACGATGCCAGGCCTATAGGATTTAGCGGCACTCGTCGAGACTCGTTCCTTCCCTTTCGGGGTCGTGAGTCATTCCCTTCCCCAGATCTCCGAAGCTGACTGTACGGACCATCATTGCGATTGGTCCCGGTCCAGCTTCAACCCCACAACCTTATTCCTGAACCAGACGGAATCGACCAATCACGATGGTTCCACCACGAAACGCAGCGATCGGCAAGGGTAAGCCCGCGACAGTGCTAGATCGACATGAAGAAGAACCGGTTGATCCCGAAACCTCAAACCCTGCTGGTATACATGCCCTCGTTGAAAGTATCGAGCATGATGATGCCGGAGAAGGCCCTTTCAATGTCCGTGCGATCCTCGACGCGAATGATGATTGAATTCTATATTCTAATTAAAAAGAATGAAGCTTCTATTTAGATTAGAGAATAAGAACAAAAAAAGTAAACAAACCCTCGACTTTGGCGTTATTAGCACACTCTAACCAACTGAGCTATGGAACCCTTAACCTTTGATAAAATAGTTTCTTTTACTTGATCTATGTAAAAAGATAGAGAACAGACTCAGATATAGCTTTCAGTTCTATATGCCATACCTATACTGTATGCGCTATAGCACCTTACAATCTTTATCCGACACAATTCGGTTGTCTACTATGGGATTTATATTACTGTTATGTCTTTTTTGGTGTCTTTTTGGTATATCCTATACTGCTTTTTGGAGCCTTTTGATACTATTATTATATGACTTTTATACATAGAAAAAAGAAGAAAAACCGGTTCAATACTATGGAGTTACCATGGAGTTACTATGGAGCATATGCTTGCATATAGTATCTCTTTTAATGCGATATCACTTCCTTTTACTAGACTCACTTGAACTTACTTTCAACTCATCTAGATATATGTCCAATCTATTCGCTGGATATGGAACTACAAAATGGATAGGATAACCCCGTCTATATTCGCACTCAATGATAATGTAATACGGATTACTGTACAATATAGAAACCAATCAAACGAACACGGATATTCAAGTCATCAGTCAACGCGCGATTAACACGCGAGCCTGGTTGATTAAATACCCGTCCACCCTCCACCCCTAGGCTTCTTCGGTCATCAGCTCTCATCCCTTGATCCTTCATCCTCTCATTCGCACCTTAGGATCAAGCATCCTAGGGCTCACACAAGAAATATGTTGACTATAGGCTTCCTAGCCAGACCATCTCAGTCTTCTTTTCATTTACACCCTCCAGGAGGCTTGATCCTTCTTCTTCTCATTCGCATCTCAGGATCAAGCCTCCTGGGGCGTAACTGCAACATATCTATTTTCTGTGGTCAGTATTGGGTCTACTTGAGGCTTCTTAGCCGGACATCTCAATCCTAGTTCTACTTTCATATCGCTTGTTACGATCTGAAGGATCGATGGGTCGTTCTTGCCTGTGTGAGGAGCAAACATTCCTTCCTACTAAGCGAGCATAAGCGAGTATATCTGCATTTGCGTTGTTTGACACGAGACGCACAAAACCATCTCGGCTCATCGTTGGTCTTTTCTTTTCTTCTCCTTTTCTTCTTCATACTGATTGTTCGTTAGAATGCACTCTTTGTTCAATAAGGTGCATAACCTCGCTTATCTCGTCGACACTGTCTGTGCCTGAGGGTCACCACCATTGTTTGCCCACAAACGTTCCTGACAAATTCTTTCTTTCGCTTTCATCACCACCCATCTTCCTTTTTCTTTCAACTCAACCATCGATACCTTTGTCTATTCGCATCTATCCTTGGACCAGCGTGGCTGCGTTTTCATCTTTGTTCCAACCTGACTACACACCAAAGGAACACCGTCCAGATACCAAAGCGGAAACAAACATCGCTTTCTGGAATGACCACAACTAACATGGTCTTGGATATGTGGCCATTGCAGGGCATGAGAACGAAATGGCTGGATGCGAGGAAGGCAATTACTTTGCAGTGGATGTCAAGGCCACGCCAAGATATGAGAGTGAAAACAACATTTCCATGGCTTTCCTGGATCTACCCAGTCATATTACGACTCAACGCAACAAACCAATTGTCTTGGCGTGCACCGCATCGAAAATCACGAAGTCACATTCACTGCCTTGGAAAGTCTCGATCATTTGAATGGATAGATCAAGCCAGCTATTGGCACGTTTGTTCGACTCTTTCAATATTAAATCGTCTCGCCCGCTAGCCTATCTTGCTTTTAGCTAGCAGCACGAAAGGGCCGAGAGATATTTGAAAGAGGCGGACAGATGTGCCAACAACTGGCTTGGTCTATCCATTCAAACGATCTTGGCTTTCCAGGGCAATGAGTGTGACTTTGTGATTTTCGATGCGGTACGCGCCAAGACGATTGGCTTAAGCAAACTTCCGACGCTCATATTGCGCTGGCCTCTGGATTGTCTAATCTGACCATATGTCCTGAGAATCAATCCCGTTGCCCAAGTCTCAAGCTACATTCAACAAGTTTGTGAGTTCGAAGCAGTTGAAAACGACTCTCAACAAACCCGAGAGTCAGTCGTTATCGGACATTCCTCGGGATACACGTGCTCATCGCATGCCCAGTTGCGTGCTACTCGACTCGTCACGTTCTTGGCATGGAAGGAACGGGGCATGGACCGCACTTTCATATGCCTCCCATACTGGAACACTCATTTGCATGGTTTGGCAAGAACACCTACAAAGCTATGCAATCGGGACGCAAGTAACACTACTCTTCATGTGTTGAATCTTGCTCTTTCTACTACCGCTAGTCAGTCTGCTACTGCTGAGCCTCATATCACGGGTAGGTGTTCAAGTTCGGCACTGCTGCGTTGGGTCAGAAGTGACAGAATCGACATGACCGATGAACCTTCATTTTCTACTGTATTTCTACCTCTAGAATTGAATCAACTTGCCTACCATATACATACTCTAAGTGCATTGGATTGATACATACTATACATGTATATGCTCCATGGCAACTCTAGCCAATGAGGGTTATGCCCCGATGGCATAATACTTAGTCGCCCAAATAATAGTATGTTCCATTCCATTCCAACCTTGGAAGTATTTCTATTGCAATAGATACTACTACCTGAATGGATAAAATCAAAGTTCAACTCCAGCACCTATGCCCGACCACCACCAGCCCACAACAACAACAACCCCAACTAACTCTCCCCAAAGGCACTTTGCACAGATCCATATCTAGAAAAGTCAGTATATATCCATATATCCCATCCACTCATAAAACTCACCCTTGAGGACACTGGCTACCCAACGCAACACTACCACTACGCATGTAGCAGACCTTAGCCTCCTGACACGCGGCAGTAGTGCACGTAGGACTCTTAACACTCTTCTTCCCCTGATAAGTATTATGCAAACTAACCAGCTCCAAATCCCTCTCCATAGCCTCAGTAACCCGATGCCAGAAAGTTGCATTCAACGGCGCGTCCTCGTCCCACGCAGCTGCGGATCCGTACGCGTCGCGGGTAGAATATTCAATCTCAAAGGTCGGACCCGTGTGCTCCAGAGCCGGGAATTCCGAGACATTACTGTAGAAGGTGTATGCTTCGTAGATATTGAAGTCGCCAGTGTCGACTTCGTAGAGACGGAAACCGCTGTTGAGGTTTGTCAGGGGTGTTATGCTAGGCATGATCCAGCCGGTGGTGAGGGCGTTATCGGCGTTCTGCGCAGTCCCGTTGTTGGCGTAGTACACCATGAATTGGTCTTCATGGGTGTGTCCGAAGAAGACGTTGGCGATTACGTGTGGCGAGTAGCGGTCTACGATCTGGTAGAATAGATCGGTTGGATTGGGGAGGGGGTTGGTTCCGTCCCAGCCGCTGAGGACGTGGCCGATTATCCAGACGCGCTCGCCGGCGTCCTCGGCTTTTTGCAGTTCTTCGATCATCCAGGAGAATACGCCTGAGTTGTCGGGGTTGGTGGTGTTGATGAATGTTAGGAAGTTGGTCCGGTACCAGAAGTCTGGGAGAGTGAGCGGGTGAATACTAAATGAGGTATGATAACATACCTGTGTTGAATGCGAGAATGCGCAGTCCGTAGTGCGTCTTCACGGAGTATCCGCCATAATGCGTTCTCGCTTCATCGGCGGTCTCACGACTAATCCAGCCTTCGTGGCGCCACAGTCCGGCCAGGTGCTCGTAATTCCAGCTTTGCTGTTCTCCTAGACGGCCAGGGAGGTTGTGAGGAGAGTCGATATTTGCAGGACTGGTGTCATGATTTCCAAGTGCCGCAAAGACAGGACCAGAGAGATAGTGCTTAAACATGCCGTTAATGCTGGTCTCTGTATACTGGGTCAATGCCTTGGAGATCTGGGATGCCGGATCATGCGATACCAGATCGCCAGTATAAATCGACCATGCAAGGTGCTCGTCGTGTTTTCCTTTGCCAGTCCCAGTCAGAGGACCAACAGCTTGCAAAGCAGCAAGACCCAAGTCGTATGG